GTTCCAAAAATGTAATATGGTTTCTTGCTGGGTCTTTAAATTGGAGCTTGTCATTTTGTTAAAATTTTGTTAAAAATATAACGCCTAAAGGACATTGTGCTATTTATAGAAAATAAAGAGCGTGTTTTCGTGATCAAAACAAAAACAATTTTACGTAATTTGGTTTATTTTTGGAAGAGTTACGCGATTTTAAGTCGCGCGATTTTTTTGCCATTAATTTCTTTACACACTATATACTAATTAGCAATGCCTAATTTACTTGATCTTCTTCCACCAGAATTAATACCATTCATAACCAAGTATCTTTCGATCCAAGATCTTAAAAATTGCTGTAGTCTATACCAGAATAAAATCGAAGGTCGTGGAACTTTTCATGCATGATGTAATCGTGTAACCCGTTGATTGTTACTGCAAATTCAATCTGATTGTCTAACTCATGGCATCTTTGTGAAAAAAATTTTTCTACATGCATCACTCGTATCATTACTTTCCAAATCTATTTTCAACACTGGATGCGTGGCTTATGCCAAAATCCCAGAAAGAGGAAATGCGAAACCGTTTAAAAGGGCAGTATTTTTACTCAAGTGATTTATTTTTTTGTTGCTTGCGATTTTCAAATTCTGGATAAATTTTTTTCTTAAAAATGGAAAGATTTCTTTTAAACGAAGAACTTGACACAGTTAGGATTGCTACTGCCTTATATAAGAGGGTTTTGACAAATGGATGGACCGGTGATAAAGATATAGAGGTTAATAATTTTATAGAGACGTTGAATAGAATAATAAACGAAAATACTATTGAGATTGAGCGCTTAGAAAAATTCCAGAATTGGGGCGATGGTTTAGAATTAGAACAAAAGGTAAATTTAATATCAACATTTTTAACGAAATCATAGAGGGTGTGATGAAATTTCTACAGACCATTATGATGTTTGTCAATTTGTGCGATTTGCGTTTTCCCGTGAAGATCCTTATGTAAAGGTACTGCATAATTGTAGAGTAACCGGATTACGTTAATCAATGCACAAATTTATATAAATTCTGCCGGCATTTACTGAAAAAAAGTCAATCTGACCCAGCGAATTTTTTTTTGCTTTCCTTTCTTTATAAAATTCGGTTGATAATGTTATCTATTTTTTCCTCAGGTAATATCGGCGTTCGAAGATATAAGAACTTTACTGAAAATGCAGAGCTCGGTAAATGAAATTAAAAGTTTATTTTATGATCTAGTTCATATCGAATCTGATAAGATATATTTTTGATATCACTAACAACATCATAGGGTGAAGATAGAACGTCTTGGGTTAGTCGAGTAGAAGACAATGTCAAGATGGTCATTCGTAATGTGCAATCGGTATGTTTTTTGTATGGGTCATTGCTTTCATTAGATCATAATATTTACGACTAATCAAATTTAGGCAATGAAAAAATGTTCTGGACTGCAATACAAGATGTGGGAAAATGTGAAAAATGAATTAGCAAAATTGGATTTGAGTAAATTAGGGTACGATCACCCAGTATGTTCTGGAATTTTGGACTGCGAATCTGAACCTATATCCACGTTATTGCCGGAGCTTCGTACTGTGTTACAGGTAATTTAAGACAATATATTTGAACTTCAATACTGTATATTTTTATTCTTATTGATGCATTCCTTATAGAAAGGGGCCGATGATTTTTTGATAGGAAAAAACAAAAGATAAGTGATCTTTGTGAAAAATTTACTCTTGAGGAGGAGAAACGTATTCTGGCGGAAGAAACAGCATTATCGCCCCGTATAGTATCTGCTTGATTCATCGGAAAAGTTAGAAGCAATCACTACACGGATTTTTGAAGTATTGTAAGTATCTACTACATTATTAATCATCTATGTACTGTAATTAATTAATCAAAACTATATTTTAGGCATCATTTATGGGTATCAACCAAGTATAGTAATAGAGCGTTTGTTCGCCATGAAAAGCCAATAAATGAGACATCATATATGTGCAAAGTATTGACACAGCTATTTGATACAGTCATGAATGGGATGCCTATAAATGCGAAGCTTGGGGTGCATGGTTGTTGTTATTTCTTCTATTTTATTGATTAAGCCTTAACTTTGACTTCATTATTTTTTGAACTTAGGGATAAACGAAGCTTGGTCAGTGCATCTCGGGCGGGCGATTTGAGATGTGCAAAGAAACCAGATTATATGTTTACGGCAGAAATAAGTGACGTAGAGGTTGAATTATTATATTGCGAAACTGGTCGTCCGAAATCTCCACACGCGAAACAGCTAGAGGATCATAGAAAATTAGCAGGACTCTCTAAGGATTCGATTGAAAAAACCAGATCAGAACTTAAAGCATCACTAAAAAAGTCGACATTGAGTGAACATTTGTCTCTATACGGTTAATGTTGCGAGTATGTATATTTTTTATTTTATCATTTTTTGGGAAATGTGCTAAAAGTTTTTTTTAGGCGACATAATAAAAATCTATGTGATGAGAAAAGAACATGGGATTCTTGTTTATCGTTTACTCACAACGGCGAAGATCCCATTGGAAATTGCATCCCCCGATGAAGTCTATACACTCATCCATGCATTATTAACATTACGATTATGTTGATTCTTCTATTATTAGGATGGATTTTTACAAATCACTAATACTTTTTTTATAGACTGCCGTTGCCTTTACATTACATAATCTTTTAGCACGTCTTGATGGGTCTCCAGATTTATTGATATATGACAAGGAAAAAAAATACAGGATATAAATCCTAAAGGAACATAGAAAATTAGCAGAACTCTCTAAGGATACAATCGAATTAAAACTATTTATTTCCTTTTCTTTCTTCTAGGTTTTTCAATAGTCGATGTAGTCTCGTCAGAGGATTGTCCACCGCTCAAAGGTGTGACTACATGGGGGTGGTGACTATATAGGAGGTGCTTATAAAGGGGTACGACTGTGTGCAACGATTTAACTTACATATGCTTATAAAATGTTTGTAATTATGACTACATAATGATGATAAAAGTATATCAGTCCCGACAGCATGCAAATAGACAGGTGCGACCGTACTGAAAAACGCAACAGGTTAAGTACGACTTATGTTTTTGAAACATAATTCAAAACTCTTTGATGTTATTTCTTAACAAGGATTGTTGTTAGATAAGAATAACATTCTATTGACATGCGTTTGATGATGTTATCTCAAACATGACACGTCAGTTTATTTTTGGTTATACTAACTCTCAGAAATCGGCGTCCTAATTGCATACACCCACGCCAGAAGCCCGCCGCGTCGGCCTTTCGCTCTACATAACTACCGTACAGTTCCGAAAATAAGCACCCCCTTTAACTATAGGGGGTGCTTATTTTCGGAGGTTGGACCTTTGTGTAACAAAATTGAGGTAATCACATGCATTTAGTGTTAAAAGAACTCCTCCCCTGTAAACCCAGAAAACCCTAGAAACCTCAGTGTTCCCAGGTGGGTATAGCACAGTAAGTGGGGTCACCATGTGCGCCTAATAAAGACCCTCGCAACTACAAGTCCAACATGCTAAGAGACTCCCTATTACTATTAATGGATGGAATTCCCGGATAATTATATAGAATCTTTCGAAATTTGCTCGTATTGGGCCTCCGGCAAAATATAATATTCACAAGGTTCAAAAACCGGTATTTCAGACAAAGCTCTTTAATGGGTGGATACAATGAAATGATTTATATACAGCAAGATTGAAGTGCAACCTACTCAAATGTAAAAAAAAAAAAACACAAATATACATGGCATAAAACCCGACTCATAGAACATATTCCGATCAGAACCCTACTATTCAGTTTCTGATTCATGCAGGCGGCGACGTTGACTTTCTCTCTCTTCAGTTTCTGCTCCCTCTTCTACAGATTGGCCTGCGATATCATTTGCTTGCGACTGAAGAATCCGGATAATTACCGACAAGACCTCCGAAACGCCCGTGTTATTAGTGAACGAACAGTCGTAGGGTTTTGACAGCAATACTGTCGGCGTCGAGCTCCTCATATCCCAATTAAGAAAACGCCATTCATTGGCTGTAGTAACTATCCCGTACATCGCTTTGCACATCGGTGTGCCATTACTGCGCTTTCTCTTCTTACTTTCCTGGGTAGAAATACAACTAAATTGTGAGGTGTAAAGAAAAGCAATAAACGAATCCAAAAAAGAAAATTTGGGTACCTCTACAGCTGTATGTAATTGGGCTATATTTTGGGCGATTCTATTTTGAACATCAATCATTTTTGCCTCGGTAACTACAACAGCCAGCTCCTCACAGAAAAGCACATAATCGAGCCGGCCATAGCCCTTGCTGCCGTCAAATTGTTCGTCAACCGCCAGGCGCACCGAAGCATGACTTTTTTGAACTGCCGAGACTGCCTCAATTATAATTGGGTTGATATAGTTTCGGGTGGTAGCCTCGTTGTTGCTTACGACATAATGAAACGCCTTAGTGATTTTCCCGAGGTTTTCTTTGAGAAACTTTTCCTGCTCCTGATCAACCTCGTATGGTCCAAAAGTAGCATCTACAGAATAAGAATTATAAAAGACTATAATCATGAAGGTTGATTCATAGAAGGAAATTTGCGAAGACAATACCAATGTCAAGTTTAGGTATAGCATTTATAGATTTGTGTTGATCCTGCAAGAGCTCGTGGAGAACATCCTTAATAGACCACTCCCCATATGCCTTCTTGCCTATTAAATCGTCACAAAAGAAACTTATGAGCATCCCCTGGAAACACAGCAATCGATTACTAGGTTCAAGGTCAACCATACCTTCAATCCTGACAATGAAATCGAGAACGATTTCGTCTTCGCTTTTAGGTTTAGTTCTTTTTGCCACGTCGAAAAAGACAAATGGACTATTGATAGTCACTTTCTTCGTGGCCTGGTCAACAAAGTAGAATTTAGTATTGTCCAATTGGAGTGTGGAGTAGCGCTGTTCCGTCTCATGAATAAGGTTTTCCCATGCCCCAGTATCATGTCCAACGTGAATTTGTTGTTGGGCGTTCGCCAGTTTGACGTTGACAATGACTGCAGAGAGTAAAGGAAATCAGCACATATATTCGCAAACAGAAAGAAATAAATTCACTGCGGAAAATGAAAGCAAGTATAATGAGAAAAATCTTGACTTACTCGTGCGATTGGACAGAGGATATCTGACGATCAGAGGAGCTTTAGCAGTTGTCTTCAGATGTTGTAGTTGAATGTCACTTCTAAGAGGTCCGTCGTCACCGTCGTCACTGCCACTATTGCTGTCGTCATAATGACTTTTGTCGTAATCACCAAAAAACTCAAGATCTTCTGAGTCAATCTTGAGAGTTTGGAATCGTCCCTTTTTACAGAGCTCCACCGCAAGATCATCCAAATCGTGACTCATAATCCCGTCAACGATAGGAAACCGAGTGGCTCTTTTCCTATTACTATCCTCAAGCCGAATCCACAATGCAGGGTGAGACATGGTGTTCCTGGACACGATGAATGAGCATAAAATTAGCGAAATAATTCGCAGGAGTAAAAGAAAAACACGCCAGTGGGTGAAGAGCACTAGCGTTAGGTAAAACGATTGATGGAATTCAAGAACTACCCCAGAGGCTGTGGGTAATTGTTGCAGTAACGTGACTCTGTATTACAGTATTACAGTCATCCCTCGTTTATTATTATATCCCTACCTTGGTTTTGGGGATGTCTCTGAAGCGGGGATATAACTGAGTTAAGTAACACAAGAAATTTTATTGGCTAATATATTCGAATTTCGTAAAGATTGAACAGAAATACTCTCTTATATAGTTGAAATCTTCAGCTTACTATTGTTATGATTATTGTTGATGATGTTACTAACCTTCTGGATTAAGTTTAGATGTCAAGCGACGCGCTGAAGAGAATCTACTTAATAGAGTGATTGTTTCCCCAATGACTTATTACCTAAATTAGTCATTCTAATGCATTTATATTAACCCAAGTCACTGTACTACTTAAAGCGAGT